AAATATGAGAAAAAGAAGAAAGAAAGGAAGAAAGAAAGAAGAAAAAGAAGGAGGAGGAAGAAGAAAGAAGAGAAGAAGAAAAAGAAAGAAGAACAAGAAGGAGGAGAAGAATAAAGAAGAAGGATGAAGAAGAAGGAAAAAGAAAGAAGGAGGAGGAGGAGGAAGAGGAGGAGAAAAAGAAAGAAGAACAAGAAGGAGGAGAAGAATAAAGAAGAAGGATGAAGAAGAAGGAAAAAGAAAGAAGGAGAAGAAGGAGGAGGAGGAGGAAGAGGAGAAGAAGATCTGAGGATCTCTGCATCTTCAAGTTGATTGTGAAAGGGGGGTAAAGAAGTGGTCCCTGGTGGCTCTGCAGAAGCCTGCTTGTTGAGAACTTTGTACACAATAACAGCCACGTTGTGTGATGACTAATATTGACAAACTTAACCCTTCCCTGCAATACAAGGATCTAAGACATCCCCAAAAGCCTCGTGATGGAAAATGCTATCCACACCCAAAGAAAGAACTATGGAAGCCGAACTGTTATTTTTTTTTTCTTCTGTTGAGTTTTGTTTCCTCTTTCTGATGGTTCCTCCTATAGATTTTAATTTCTACTTACAACATCACTAATGTGAAAATATGTTTAATATGAATGTAAATGTATAGCCTATATCAGATTGTGAGCCGTCTTGGGGAGGGTGGTGGGGAGGAAGGGGGAGAAAAATTTTAAACTCAAAAACATATGGAAGTGATTATTGACAAATCAAAATAAATTAATAAAAAAAAGAAGAAGAAGCCTGTTTGTTCCACCCTCCCAGAGGACATCCTTGGCCTGGAGCAGAAAGGAGAGAAGAGGCAGCAGGTGGGAGCCATCGTGGCCCTTTCCTCCTTCCCCTCTCTTTCCCTTCCCTCCTCCCCTCTCTTTCCTTTCCTCTTGCCCCCTCCCTCCCTCCTCTCTTTCTCTCCTCTCTCTTCCCCCTCTCCCTTCCTTCCCCCTTCCTCCCTCTTGGACCTCTGGTATTAATGAGGCTTGAGATGTTTTCCATGATTTTGGTGTCATCTCCTACCTAAGCTGTAGTCCCAATTCTACCATCTTTGTGACCTGTTAATTAGGAAAACTTCTAGAACAGCCTTTTGGCTCACCCAGCTACCTCATTGTGATAAATTATTTAACTTGAAAAGGCCATAAGCCAAGAGTAAAGTGGAGGGACAGTTGGGGCACGACTTTTTGTTTGCAGATGATTGAGAACTCAATGAATTCTCTGAAGCTGAGATGCAACAAAGTGTGGATCAATTCTCTGCTGCTTGTGCTAATTTGGACCTAACAATTAACACCAAGAAAACACAGGTTTCCACCAGCCTGCACCACACCCATCCATACCTGGAACCACCAGTTACAAAAATGGAGGAATTTTGAGCACTGTGGATGAGCTTGCTTACCTTGGCAGTGTACTTTCCAAGGATGTATACACTGACAATGAGGTTGATGCACGCATTGCCAGAGATAGCTCAGTATTTGGGAGGCTTGGAAGGAAAACGTAGGAGAAAAGATGTAGGTATTAGACTGAGTCCCAAACTGAAGCTCTACAAAGACTGCGTGCAGACCTCGTTGTGAAATCTGGACAGTCTGCCAGCGCCATGCCAGAAAACCGAATCGCTTCCATTTGAATTGTCTTAGGAAGATTCTGAAGATCACCTGGCAGGATCAGATACCAGACACTGGGGTCCTTTCTCAAACTAAACTGCCAAGCATTCAGACTCTGCTTCAGAAAGCGCAACTCCGATGGGCTGGCCACATTGTTCGAATGCCAAACTTCCAACATGCATCTGCCTAACAGACTATTTTACAAAGAACTCACCAGGGCAAGCGTTCACACGGAGGTCAGAAGAAGCGATACAAGGACACTCTCAAGGTCTCTCTGCAGAACTTTGGAATCAATGATGAGACGTTAGAGACACTGGCACAGAACCACCCAGCATCATGTGCCCACATCAACGAAGGCTCTGTGCTCCATAAGCAAAGTAGAATGGCAGTAGCTCAAAAGGAACATCAGATGTACAAATCTAGAGACATCTCCACTCCAAATGTTCATAGGAACTATTTGTGCCTGACCTGCGGTCGAGCCTTCTGAGCCTGTATTGCTCTGCTCAGCCCAGTGGGTACCTTAACCCCAACATAGTGATGCCATTTTGGTCCTCTTAGAGAATGAAGAACAACCAGGCAACCAGCCAGCCTCCAGGTTTACCACTCTCACCATGCACACCTCGAGCCCCTGCTGCCATGCCCTGCCCCTACCTCATCAGTTCACTCTGAGGTCCTTTTCAGCTTTTACAACCCATGTCTGTCCTTCATTCTAAGGTCCTTGCCAACTCCAACATTCTCTGTTCTGAGACCCCACATCACGGCTATGGAAAGGAATGGGAAGGGAGGCATCAAGTGAAGTGCTGGGATCTAACTGTGTGCAGACGTGGTCCCTCCCCGCAAGTACCTTACATTCTAATGGGGGAGCTGGCTTTGTTTTCTGTCTTCAGAGTTAGCGTAGGAAAGGTGGGCATTGGGTGCAGAGGGAAGGAAACAGTACGGTGCTTTCCTGAAGATGAGCAGAGAATGGTGGGCTTGGTTGGGTCTGGCCTCTCTATGGTGAATACTCACCACCTACAAGCTGAGTGTGGGATAGGCTAGACATGTAATACTGTAATATTAATCTGCTTTAATCAGGGCCCTCCCAGCTCTGACATCCCCTGTTCTCAGGCCCCTCCAAGCCCTGACATCCCCTGTTCTCAGGCCCCTCCCAGCCCTGACATCCCCTGTTCCCAGGCCCCTACACTTCTCTGTTCTAAGGTCTCCCCCAGCTCTGACACTAGGATTTGATGAAGTAACAAGGAGAGAGCTGGGATTAGGACCCTTGCTCACACTCCTGGGAGAGGGGTGTGTTTGAAAGCAGGCTAAGGATAAGATCACACAATCAATCAATCAACAAACATTTATTCTGTGCCTGCTGGGTCCAAGGATCTGGAGAGGAGGAGGACTCAGCTGGGAGGGAAAATATATACATATGAGAAGACAGCAAGCCATACAAGGCAATATATGATGAGAGGCTGTATGAGAGCTTAGATGCGTGGGGGTGGGGGGTTGGGGTGGGGGGTGTGTGTGTGTGTGTGGGTGTGTATGTGTGTGTATGAGAGACACACACAAGACTAAATATAGAAGGAGTTGGGACTGCAGCTGAGCCTTGCGGGATGGGGAGGGCTGAAGAAGGCCAGAACAGAAAGAAAGATCGGGGGGGGGGGGGACATGGATAATTAGAGGGACAGTTAGCCCCCTCGACAGGGACAGGGAAACAGAGAAGTCCTAGGGTGATGTGACCCACCAGGGCTGCCCTGGACCTGCTGCTGCTGCTCCCTTCTCATAATCCCCTAGCTCGGGAAGACCTGAGTTCAAATCCTCAGAGGCTTATTAACTGTGTGACCCTGGGCAAGTCACTTAACCTGCCTGCCTCAGTTTCTTCATCTGCAAAATGGGGATAATAATAGCACCTACCTCCCAGGATTGTTGTGAGCTGCAAATGACATATGCAAAGTGCTTTGAAAACCTTAATTCACTACAGAAATACTATTATTACTAATATTGTTATTATTGCTATTACTACTGTATCTCTCCCCAAGGAGGACGTGGGGAGTAGCCAGGAGTGTGAGTGTGGAGTGAAGAAGCCAACTACCCCCTCATGATCTTGCCTTTGGGGTTTCCAGGGCAGGGAACATTCATTCTGCTCGTGAGGATCCTGCCAGCATTTGGGGGATGGGGAGGTGACCAGAGGGTCTGCCGGTCGCAGGGCCTGGAGAACCCAGTCTGAATTAGGGAGTCCTGGCAGGGATCTCCTGTTACGGAGGTCCACGACCACTTGGGGGAGATGTCAGAGAAGGACCACAGGCACTTAACTCTAGAATCACAAGGGACCTCAGAAGCCATTTTAATCCAACCCCCTGCTTTTACAACAGAGGAAACTGAGGCCCAGAGAGGGCAAGGCATAGGAAAGGGCCCTGGATTTGGAATCAGAGGACTCAGTAGACTAAACATGCATAGTGGAGAGAGTGCTGCGCTTGGAGTCAGGAAGACCTGGATTCAAATTCTGCCTCTCACACTGCCCAGCTGTTCGGTCCTGGGCAAGTCATCTCTACGTGCCTCAGTTTCCTCCTCTAGATGCTAGATGGTCTCTGTTGTCCTTTCCAGCCCTAAATCTACCATCCTTTAAACCGCTCAGTGCCTCAGTTTCCTCCTCTGAGGTCCCTGTCCACTCCAGCTCTTGGGCCCTATGATGTGGGTTCAGTTCTCAGCTCTGCTACTTAAGAGACCTTCACGGATCGCGTCAACCTCTCGAGGCCTCAGTTTACTCGTCTGCAACAGGCTTGGGGTTAGAGAAAAGGATCTTGGAGGTCCAGGTGCAGAGCCTGTGATAAGCTCCGAGGTCCGTCCCAGCTCTTGATGCCAAGACTAAAAGGTCGAGGAGCAGGGCACCGGGTGACTGGAGCTTCCTTACCTCCCCAAGCCTCAGTTTCCTCCCGGGTAAAACAGGAGGATGGGGGATGTGCACGGTTCCTTCCAGCCCCGAATGCCCTCACGGCTTCTCGTCTCCGCTCTCCCGGGGCAGCTCAGGCTCCGCCCCGGCTCTGGGCGCCGCGGGGGTCCCCCCCAGCCTGTGCCAGCCCCCACCCCCAGGCCTGGGAGCCGGCCGCCCCTCGGAGCTCCCCTTCCGGGTTGGGGCGGCCCCGGCGGCGCTGAGGGGCGGGGGTGGGCAGTGCCGAGGGGGCCGTCCCCCTGCTCCGTCCCCTCCCCCCGGAGCTGCCCGCCCCCTCCGGGCTCCGGGGGGCTGGGAAGATGAAATCGGGCCACGTCCGGGGGAGAGGAAGGGGCTGAGGCTGCGAGCGAGGCAGGGAGCCAGGCAGGCGGCGGAGGGAGGCTGGGCAGGAGGGCAGCGGGGCCGCGGCGACCAGAGGAGGGCTCGCTCCTGCATCCCGCGCCCCAGATGCCCCCCGCGCGGGCAGCAGCAGCAGCAGCGGCGGCGGCGGCGGCGGCGGCGGCCGTGGGCACGGGCACCATGAGGAGTGGGCGGCATCAGCCTGCCTCGGGGGCAGCTGCCCGGGGCTGGGCACTGCTCTGCCTCTGCGCCCTGCTCCCCGGGGGCCACGGCACCTCTTGGAGCTTCGGGGGAACCGCCCAGTTCTCCCGCCGCAGGTAAAGCCCGCCCCCCACCCTTTCCTTCCCCGGAGGGAGAGCTCGGAGCCCCCACTCACCCCACTCTCGCAGGGCTAGAGCTGGAGCGTGAGAAAGGAAGGAGCCCCGGGCAGGGAGAGGAGGGAGCGGGGCAGACCCCCTTAAAAAAAAAAACAACGGGGCTCCTGACCAATCGGGGCTCTCAAAGTGGGGATTATCCCACCCCCCCAAAAAACCCCAGTCACCAGCCTGAGACTTGTGGCTGATCAAGAGATTTCCCCAGCCTTGCTTTCTGTCCCTGTGGGGAAAAGAAAGGACCTCCCCTCCCCCAGCTCACTGGGGAGGAAATTGATGCTCCGGCAGTGATGGGGTTAAAGGGACCCTACTTGTCACGCTAGCCCCATGGGTGACTGCCCTCCGCACACCCCCAGACTCTCGCTGTCTGTTCGAATACTGGGACTAGAGAGAAGGGAATTGAGCGGGTGTCTTGGGGAGAAGGTGACCTCCCCCACCCCGCCAGGGACACAGACAGACGCCCCATAGGTTCTCAGACTTGGTCTGGGGGAGGAAGGCCCCGAAATGGGTCAGTTCCCCTGGAAGTGGAAGGGGAGAGGGGCTGGTGGGGCCCCTGCCTCCAATTGTCCAGCTGCTCCCCTGCATCGTGGGAAATGTCTGGTAGTGACCTCCCCACGAGGCCACCTCCCCTGGGTCCTATCGGCTCCCTCCTCCCCTTGCAAGGCCCCTGGACCTTCCCTTAGTGCCCTCCTCCCCTGGGGTTTTGCTACTATTTTAAACCTTGGACAGAGGGATTTCTTCCCCAGAGAAGTGGAAACAGCACCAGGGGTCACAGGTTAGAGCTTAGCCAGGACCTCAGAGACGTGTAGTCCGTTTCCCGGTTTCTTCAGTTGAGGAGACTGAGGCTGGGTCAGGGGACATGCCCAAGATCCAACATTAGCAGAGGCTGGAAGCTAACCCCAGTCTCCTGAACCCCCTTGGTCTAAGCCCCCTCTCCTCCAATCCAGTCAGGAAGGTGAGCCAAGTGAGGACGGGGATGGATGGGAGACCCTCTGCAGCTTCTTGGGAAATGTGCTTTTCCCAGGAAAGCGGGGGAGATAGATTAAGAGTCTTCCCTGACTGAGCAGAATCATGCCCGCCTCCCCTGCCCCTGCTTTCTTTTCCTCTTGGTGTGCCAGAGAGTATTTTCAATTTCTGAGCTGCCCACCTGGCCTCTATCCCTGATTTGATGAGGATATACATTTAGAAACAGAAGAGGCAATTAGAGGCCAGTTGGTCCAAGCCTCTCATTTTAGACAGCGGGAAACTCCCTCCCCAAGAAGTTGGCTGATTTGCCCAGGGTTCCACCAGACGTTCATGACTGAAACAGGATTTGAAGTCAGATCCCCTGACTCCCAATCCAGCACAATTACCATTGCACAGTACAACCTCTCAGTGCACATCTGCACTTTTAAATACGTGTGCGGAAGTGTTAAAAAAAATTACTAACATGTACGTGTGTGGTGTTAAAAAAAAAAAAAAAAACAACCAACCCTGCCATACTGGAGGGCACTACAATTCAATGGGCTGCAGCTCGGTTATAAGGAATTCTCTTCACTGTAAAGAGGGTGACTCAGAGAATAGAAATAAGGAATGCACATGGACAAGGGCAGTGTCCTTACCAATGGGGTCACAGGTTCAGCCCCCACCCCACCCCCAAAAAGCATGGTACGTACAAATGGCTCTAATAAAATGCTTATGGAATGAAGTACAGTCTTACTTCTGGTTAGATGACCCCAGAAAAGTCCCTTCCCATCTCCAGGCCTCAGTTTCCTTTTTTGTAAAATGGTTGGACTTGATGAGCTCCAAGGTTCCTCTCAGTCTTAAATGAAATCTAATGTCCTCCACTAAAGCCCTCTGAGCGTGGGACTGAGCCCGGGGTTCTCAGAGGTCGGACGGAGTGAGGCAGGATGGTACAGCAGAGAGAATGCTGGCTCAGCAGTTAGAGGACCAGGCCTCAGAGCCTGCCTCTGATAAATCCATATGACCTTGGTCAAGGCCTTCCACCTCCCTGAGCCTCAGTTTCCTCATCTGTAAAATAAAGCAAATGAACTTGCTAGCCTTTGACGTCCTGCCAGGTCTGGTTCTGGGAAAGGCAAAGAAAAGCATTAAGTATGCAGTGAGCAGGGGCACTGGGATAATAAAAATTTCCACAAATCTGAGTCGAGAGGGGTTCTGGGGTACGGGAGAGACATCTAAGAATCCCAGCTGACTCCTAGGAACTACGCTTTTCCCATGCTGACATTGGGACTGAGTTGGGAGGTGAGATTAGATGACCCCAAATTCAAAGCCCTCTCTCTCTGGGTCCCCAGAGGAGCCAGGTGATCCTCAGCCTGCAAGGCCCCCTGGGAACTGGTATCTTGCCTTTTGTAGAATCTTTGTTGGCCGGGATTCCAAAGTGAATCCAGCCCAGGAGGCCCTACCCAGACCCCTGGCTTCTCATGAGATTCTAGCTTCAGAGCTGAAAGGGACCTTGGAGATTATGGAGTCCAAGCCTCCCATTTTACAGATGAGGAAACTGAGGCTTACGTGGCAGGGCTAGGATTTGAATCCAGGTCTTTTGGATGACAAAGTCAGGACTCTTTCTAAGGAGCCCAGCCTGATCTTGGAAGAGATCACTCGACTAAACTGAAGCATTCCCTGAGATGCAGTTGGAACTTATCAAAGCTGGAACCACTTTGCACATCTTTTGGTCCATCCCCTGTGCTCCTCTCCCCAAGGAAGGCTGATATGAGAGGCCTGGCCCTGTGGTCGGGAAGGGGGAGAAAGCTAATTTCTCAGAGATCTCTGGCCCTGCTTCTTTATCTCCGGGGTCTCCATGCCTCTCACCTGCTCTCCCCTCTCAAGGGGCCTCTTACAGCCACCTAGACAATGAGGCTGACCCTCCTCCCAGCTTTTTCATCCCCTAGTCAAAGAGTCCGGCCCTGGCCCTCCCACCCCCCACAGATTCTATTCTCTTCTCCTTTTCAAAAGAAGGCCTTTCCCTTGCAAGCACGCAGGGGCCCACTCTTCAAGATCTGTTAGAGACGGAGGGGAATAGGGAGGAGGAATGAATGATCATGGGAAGGGTATGTAGGACAGAGGCCCTGGGGTTGCTGTCCGCCCCATGTGGCGTGAGGGAGGCATAAGGCCTCCTCCTTCTGGACAGGAGGAGTAGATGCTGCTGAGAACATGTACGATGGTCACACTTCAGAGCTGGAAAGGGCACCAAGGTCATCTCTTTTTACAGAGGAGCAAACTGCAGCCAAGTGATGGGAAATGAAGTGGCCGAGGTCACACAGCAAGTGACCTGGTCACCAAGTCAGAGCCAAGACTCAAATCCAGGACCTTCGAGGTTATCTAGTCCTTACCGACAGATTGAGGCCCACAGTCATAACATGACTGAAATGATTTCCAGTGGAGTCAGAGGAGTTGGGTTCAGATTCTGTTTCTGACACTTCCTAGTGGGCAAATCACTCGCTGCCTCAGTTTCCTGAGTTCTAAACTTATTTGATAGTCTGTAAGGTCACCCCTGGTCACTGGGGCTGTGATTCCGGATGCTTATTTATTTTTAAACTATATCCCATGGCCTCTCAGCTTCCAGAGTCCTTTTCTCACAGTAGCCTGTGAGATAGGGAGTGGAGACATTATTACCCCCATTTTAAAGATGGGGAAACCCAAGGCCAGTCATGGGATACACAACTGGAAGGGACCCTAGAAGTCAATGAGTCCAATCTCTTCATATGTGAGTCAGAATAGCCTCTCCGATATGAACATATCTGGGGGAAACAACAGTGGGTGGCCGGAGGTAATTAGCCATCCTGAGGATATCTGGCTGCTTTGTTCAATTTGGAAGAATGGTTTTCTGGGGGTCAAGCTGCCGACCTGGAGCCAGGGAGTCCCAGGCTACTAGACCCATTACTTAGTGACCCCTGGGTCTCGGGCTCCTCCACTTTGGTCTTTTGTAGAAGAAATGGACCCAGCTTCAGGCCAGACTTGAGTTTACTTATTTCTGACACTGGCGGTAGGCAAGTGACTTAACTTCTCCTGTCCTCAGTTTCCTCCACTGTAAAATGGGGTCATACCTACCCACTGAGCTGGTATGAGGCTAAAATGAAATAAAAAATTGTTAAATAAATAAAATAAATAAAAACTGTTAAAAAAAATCAGCTACTTTATTTTACATGTGGGGAAACTGAGGCTCGGAGCAAAAAGTGATTTGGCCGAAATCACACAGTTGGTAAGTGGCAGAGGGAGGATTTGAACCCAGGTGTCTTGAGTTTCAGCTCAGTGCTCTTTTCACTCCGGGGTAATAATAGCACCTGTCTCGGGGGGGGGGGGGGGGTTGTGAGGGGCATGTCACATAATAGTTGGTAAACCGCTTCGCACAGTGCCTGGCATGTGGTAGGCGAGATAGAAACGTTAGCTATTATCCTTATTATGTTCAGTCCCCTCCACTGCCTCTCAGTCAGCTTCCTTTTCTGGAAGAAAGCTTGAATTTCAGTCATTCACTGTCAGAGGCTGGCATTCCCAGGCTGGCACGTTGGGAGGAATGGCCCATCAGCCCCTTCTTCCACCTCCAGACGCGCAGCCTGAGGCCCCCATTTCTGAGTGGAAGGAGGAGCATGGGGTCCTCACCTCCACCTCCCCCCATCTTCCGGCCCCTCCCACGCCCCCCCAGGGCCCCGAGGTTCTGTTGGTTGGCGAGATAAGATGCATAAAGGGAGCTTTGTAAGAGGGGAGGGGGAGGCCTGGGAGCAGCTCCAGCAGCCCAGAGGGGCCGTGCCCCCTGCCCTAGGAGTATGCCGGGAATGCGAGAACCATAACGGTGGGCCCCAGCCCCCGACAGTGCCAGGTCCCCTGTGGGCAGAACCAGAATGAATACCAGTGGGAGGTGAGAACCCCAAAAGCTGCTCCCTCCCTGCCCACCAGCCCTGCAAGCTTGACCAACTGCAGCCTTGTTTAAACTGCCCATTCAGGCCTTCTGA